CCTTGAAGTTCTTGCCCTCAAGAGAGGGAGTGTATACATTTTCCCAACTTGCCTCTCTCAGATTTTGTTTGTTCTTCTAGGTTTTTATTTTTATTTGTTCAACTTGGGTTCTTTAGTTTCAATCTTTGTTTTATCATTTTTCTTTTTTTTGTTTTTCTATCACTACCAATTTCCAATTTTTACTTGCTGTGTGGATTAAACATTTATCTGTTTAGTATGTTGGAAATGTGCTACTCTATTGATTTGTCTTCTGATTTTCTTGGAGTTATTGCTATAAAAATAAAATTTTATATGATCAATTCTCTTCATATTTTATTTCATAAATTCTGAGGTTGCCCTTTTAATATCTTTCACATCCTGAATTTATATCAAAATAATCTGTAGTATATTTGTTTTTTACATTAATGATATATAACATTTCTTTCAGTTTCATTACTTAACATTTGTATTGCATTTTCCAAGATGCATCAGTGCTGTTTCATGGTTTATCAATACTTCATTTTTTTCATTATATTACAATTGTTTGATGATCCAGTTATTGTATAACTAGAATAAATTCATATTTCCTTCAAGCAAAATATTTGATGACATGCTTTCAGAATCTGTGCATATCTACAAATACCCCTTTCATTGTCATAATAGAATAACATTTTGGTAATAGATAGAATTTATGTGTCATATTCTTTTTGTATAGTTTTGTAATTTGATGTAGTCTATCTTAAATGAGTTTTTCCAATATATGTTTTGGTGTGCATACATGTGTGTGTGCTACTATAGTTGTATAGCCTTAATCTCCCAGATGAAGCCTAACTCCTTATTCAATAAAATGAAGAGAATATTTTCTTTATCAACTTATTTACTTTTATTCTTCATCACAATTTTTTATGAGAAATGTGTTTTCACCCTAGCTTTTATGCTTCTGCCTTCTCTATTACATTTTTGTCTATAACTATTTCCAAATTACTTTTATGTGCATTTTACCAGTATTTATACTGTATTTGCTTACCACTATTTCAGTTCTTAGTGACCAAATTATCCTAGTCATATGTGTTGAATAATTTAATTGTAACTACCACATTTTTTTAGTTTTGGGTACATATATTTTTAATATTAATTGACTTCCTTGGGAAACTAATTTTTATTGAAAACCTATGCTGCTTCATTAGAACCTGTTTGTTTGTTTGTTTTGTTTTGTTTTTGACCTGGTTTTAAAGATTTGCTTTTTTCCTCTGGTTATTTTCTTTACATGGAATGTTGATTTTCTTTTAATTGTCATTTGCATTTTTATAACTTCTCTGACTAAGCCAAACTCTTGTTTCACATAGAAAAGTATATTTTTGAGTGTCCAGGTGAATAAACTTTCAAACTAAAATGTCATAATTTTAATTACACTTTTCCCAACAGTTGTTAGACTTTTTCTTTTTTAATTTATGAAAAATAAAACAATATTTCAACATCAAATAGTAAAATAATAATAATAGTTATTGTTCTGTAAATCATTATCTTCAGAGTAGTTACTCAAAGCACAATATATAAACCAAAAAGTATTTATTGGCCATTTGTACTTCTCTTGAGAAATATTTCAGGTGCCCATTTTTATTTTGAGTGGTCTATTTTTTTGTTTGTTTGTTTTAGTTCTTGTATATTCTCGATGTTAGCCCTTGTCCAAGGAATAGCTGGCAAAATATTTTTCCTATTCTGTAAATGTCTCTCCACTCTGTCAGTTGTTTCCTTTGCTGTGCGGAAGTGTTTTTGATATGATCTTATTTGTTTCTCAGAAAGTCCTTGCCCATGCTGATGTCTTCAAGAGTTCTACCTGTTTTATCTTCCAGTAGATGGTGTTTATGTTTTAACATTTAGATCAGTGATCCATTTTGGTTTTGGCTTAGTACATGGTGAGATATATGGGTCTAGATTCAATCTTTTTCACATGGATATTCAATTTTCCCCATAGCATTATTAGAGGATATCTTTCCTCTAGTGTATGTTTTTGGCTCCTTTGTGAAAGATAAAATAACTGTACATACTGGAGTTGTTTCTGCTTCTTCTGTTGTCTTCCACTGATCCATATGTTTGTTTTTGTGTCAGTACCATGCTGTTTTAATCACTGTAGTTTTATAGTATAACTTGAAGTCTGCGATTGTGATGCTGCCTGATTTTCTCTTGTTACTCAGGATTGCTTTTGCTATTCTGGATCTCTTTTGATCCCATACAAATTTTAGGATAGTTTTCACTACCTTTGTGAGAAATGACATTGAAATTTATTGGGATTCCATTAAATCTGTATATTAGTTTTGGAATTTGGGGTAAGATAATTATGTTGGTTCTGCCTAACCAGAAATGGGTTATTTTTCCATTTTCTGAAGTCCTCCTCAATTTCCTTTTTCAATCTAATGTAATTTTCATTGTAGAGGTCTTCCACATCCTTAATTAGATTAATACCTAAGTATTTAATTTTTTATGCTACTTTGGATGGTATTATTTTCCTAATTTATTTTTCTGTGAGCTCCTTATTAGTGTAGAGGATTGTTATAGACTTTTGTGCATTTATTTTGTATCCTGCTACACTGCTGAACTTGATTATCAATTCTATGAGTCTTTTGGTGGAGTTTTATTGAGTCTTATAAGAATCATATCATCTGCTAATAATGATATTTTGAGTTCATTTTTTCATATATATCCCTTTTATTTCTCTTGCCTGATTGCTCTGGCTAATGTTTCGAGGACTATGTTAAACAGTAGTGGTGATAATGAACATCTTTGTCTTGTTCTTGATTTTAGAGGTGAGGCTTTTCAGCTTTTCTCCATTTAATATGATGTTGGCAGTAGGTTGATCATAAATGGTTTTAATCATGTTGTGATAAGGTCGTCCCATGCATATTTTGTTCAAGATTCTTATCATGAATGGATGTTAGATTTTGTCAAAGGTTTTTTCTACATCTAGGAAGATGATCATGTGGTTTTTGTCCTTGATTCTTTTTATGTGATGAATTACATTTATTGATTTGCATGTGTTGAACTATCCTTGCATTTCTTAGATGAAGCCTACTTTGTCATAGTGCATGATCTTTCTGTTTTGTTTTTGTTTTTTGGTACTGGGAATCAAACTCAGGGCCTCATGATTTCCAGGCAGGTGCTGAGCCACTGAGCTACATCTTCAGCCTTTCTTTTTTATTAATTGTTGCATTCTGCTTGCCAATATCTTAAGGATTGTTGCATCTATATTGATTAGAAAATTGGTCCATAGTTACCTTCTTTGCTTGGATCCTTGTCTGGTTTTGGGATCAGGATAATGTTAGCTCCAAGAATGATTTTGGAAAGTATTTCTTCCCTCTCAATTTCATTGAAAAGTTAGAGGGGTATTGGTGTTAGATCTTCCCAGAAGTTCTTGTAGAATTTGATTGTGAATCCATCAGGTCCTGCGTTTTTCTTAGTTGGCAGTTTTTATTATTATTACTGCTTCATTTTCATTGCCTGTTATTGGATTGTTCAAGATTTTTAAGCCTTCTTGGTTTAGTTTTGGTAATTCATATGTATCTAGGAATCTCTCCATTTCTTTTGAGTTCTCCATTTGTTTGGCATATATGTTTATGAAGTAGTTGCTAATAATTTTCTGGATTTCAGCAGTATCCTTTCACCTTTTCATTTCTAATAGCATTGTCTTTTTTTTCCTTTGTTTTGATAAGATTGGCTAAAGGTTTGTCTATTTTATGTATTCTTTCAAAGAACCTGCTTTTCAACTCATTGATTCTTTGTATTTTTTTAGGTCTTTATTTCATTAATTTTTGCTCTGATCTTTGTAATTTTCTTCCTCATCCAAGCCCTCAGATTGGATTGTTCTTTTTTTTTTGAAGACCTTGAGATGCATCATTGGGTTATTTATTTGGGATCATTCTATTTTTCTGATGTTTGTATGTTGCTTTTAGTATAATCACAATAAGAACCACAGTAAAATAATATCCCTCTCTCCCTCTCTCCTTCCCTCCATTTTCCTTTCTCTCTCCTCTCTCTCTCTCTCTGTTAAAAACAACTCCCCAAAATCTCAGACTTTAAAATAACAATATGGTTTGCTCTATCATTTAATTTGTTCTTTACTAGCAAATATTAATGTAGTTTTATGCTATTAAATATATTGATAGTTGAATCTAAACTCATTGTGCAAATCTATCAACACTGACTAGTATCTGACTATACATAGGTATGTGTAAGTTGGCTGATTATTTTGAATTCATTCCACTGGGCATGGTAGTGCTTTCTGGTTATACTGTTAATATTTCTCTGATGTATATTATATGTTGTCATAAACCAAGCAAACTAATAAAGAAATTGGCTTTTAATTTTTAGATCTTGGGGCTCTAAAATTGAAAATAGGTATACATGATGGAAGACTACTTGGCTATAAAGAAGGATAAACATGAGACATTCATAGGAAAATGGATACTCTTGGAAAATATAATGTTAGATGAAATAAAGCATTCACATAGGCTTAAATACCATATGGTAGCTCTCATTTGAATAAGGTAAAGTGCAAATAAAGAGTAAAATAAAAGATTGTTAGAAGGAAACAAGAAGATAGGTCTTTTGCAGATGAGAAGGGGTCCAAAAGAATGAGGGCAAGGGAAGAGCAGGAGAGAAAGGGGAAGTAGAAATATTTAAGATGTGTCACTTGCATATACCAAATACCCACAATGAAAGTAAACATATATGTCATAACCATGAGCTAAGAATAATAATAACAAAAATAAGAATGAAAATGGAAAGGACATTTAGAGCAGGAGAGCAGGAAGTGGGTGGGAAGAAAAAAGGGATTAAAGAATCAGGCTGTGTTATGTACATGCACCTACTCCCTAAAATGAATGTAAACTTCATGTACTGCAAACATGTACTAATACAATAAAATTTAAAACTTTGAAAACAAAGTTTGCTTAATTTATTATTCTAGTAGTTATTTTCATTTAAAATATCATTATAATGAATTGTCATTATTTTTATTGAATTAGGTCACTTTTAGACCCCAATTTCCTGGCATATTCATATAACAAGTTAGGAACATTGTCTCCAGAGTCATCCCTTTTGAAGGTAAGTGTTGGTTTCTGCTCCGTAGAGTCACATGCTTAATGTGGTTTAGGCACCATGGTTGGAAAGAAAAAGGATGCTCTTATTCTCCATAGAGTTTTTGGAAAAACCAATCACAAATCCAAGAATAATGTGCTAAATACCAAAAGCACTTTGAATTTTGTGAAATCTAGCACTCAAGAATCACCTGTCTAAAGAAGACATATACTAGGAATTTTAGGGGATTTTAAAAGTGAGTGAATTTTCATCCTTTGCATAAGGTGTTTTACTGATTAGAAACATTTAATCTAGAGGATATCTGATTTATCAACATTTCCTTTAATGAATGGTGTTATAGATTGGTGTCAATCCTGAGACCCAACTTCCTGAGGACTTTCAATTTTTCTTCTAAACATTTTATAGTTTCTGCTTAATTATGTGTTGGGACATAATTTTGTTATAAAGTGTGAGGCTTGGATACAGATTCATTCTCTTAACTTTGGATGTGTAAGTGTTCCAACACCATTTATAGAAAAGGCTATCCTCCTGCACAGAATTGTTCTTGTATCTTTTTTGAAAAATCAGTGAAGCATATTTGAGTGGATATTTTTCTGGATCACTTACTCCATCTAATACTTTTCTGTGTTTATTTTTTAAACATTGCCATGTAATGTCCTTTACTGTATCTGTGTATTAAGTACTAATGTTGATTACAGTGATTCCTTCCACTTTATTCTTTTACAATAATTTTTAATTATTCTAATATATATATTATGCTTTTCAATATAAGTTTTAGGCAAACAAACTCTGTGTGCAGAAATTTTTTTTTTTTGGTACTGGGTATGGAACTCGGGTCCTTGCACTTGCACAGCAGGCGGCAAAACCACTGAGCTAAATCCCCAACCCTGTATGCAGAAATTTTTGTTAGGGTTGTGATAAGAATTATGCTTAACCTATGGATCAACTTATAAAGAATTGATATTTTTACTAGGTTGGGTCTTCCAATCTATGAATTCAGTAAGTCTTGCCATTTATTTGATATATTATAAATGCTTTTTCAATAGTATTTGTAATGTTGGCATTCAGATCCTGTACATATTTTTTTAGTCTTGTAGGAGTTACAAATTTGTGTTTTTAGTTTCCATATGTTTGTTGTTAACATCTAAAAAGTCAAATTACTTGTTTCTGTTGATCTTATATCTTGTAATGTCACTGAAATCACAGTCTTCCTATTTTTATATATTGTTTCTATTTTTCTCATAGACCAACCTTTTATTTTTAATTTAATTCTGCATTAGTCCATGTTTGCAGTACATAATGCTTACATTCCTTGTGTGGAGTTGGTGCATGTGCACTACACACGGGAATTCCTTTTTAAGTTTCCTGTCTCTCCCCTCCCTCCATCTCTTGGTCTTCTTCTCTTTGAGAAAGATCTGTCTCCCTAGTTCATATTATCTATTTTTTTAATTTATGCTTTGAGAAACTATGAGATTTACACTTGTGTGTCTGATTTATTTCACTTAACATGTCTTTTTAACCTGAGGTTGTTTCACTGTGCTCGATGCAAGATGCAATAATACAATGTGGAATGAGAGCAGTAAAGACAGATGTTATATTATTCCTATTTTAGGGATAAAGTATTCAGTCTTCTGTATGAGGATTGTGTGTGCTCTGGAGGTTGTGTCATATGCTGTTATTGGGTTAAGGAATTTGCCTGCTTTTTCTAGATTCACAAAGTTTTCTTTTTCAATAATTGGTGTTTAGTTGTATCAAATGCTTTTTCTATAGCAGTCTTTCTGACATTCTGTCTTTTCTTAGTCTGTTAAAATGGTACATTACATTGTTTGGTTTTCAAATCCTGAAACAGTATTGCAGTTTGTTTGCTGGTGTATAGTTCTTTGCATATATACTAGTATATATCCTTCATATTGATAGTTTCTTGCAATAATTTTTGTCAGTGTGCATGAAAGATATTGACCAATAATTTTGGTCATTTTTCTTAACACCAACTTTGTCTAATTTGTGTATTATAGTGATGCTGGAGTCATAAAATAATAATAAAGTCATAAAGTTGCAATATTTTTTTGGACAATGTAGGATAATATAAATGTTAATTATTAATATATTTGATAAAGTTTTTCTAACAGGTCTTTTTAATTTTTTGTTTGTGGGAATTTTTATGAATTACGAATTCAGTTTATTTAAAGATTATAAGAATTTTAAGTTTATCAATTTTGTCACCAGGGAGCTGGGTCCTGATGCAACAAGGAACCAGCCCCCCACTTCATCGATCCTCAGTTTTTTGTGCCTTTTAAGAAAGAATCCATTCAAGACACATAGGCAGCCTTGTAGAAGTATATAGAATTTATTTTAAAGAAAATATAGAGAGAGTTACTACTTCAAACAAGAAAGCAGGCAGCACTACAAAGGCATCTGCAGTGAGCCCAAATTTGGATACTTTTTCATATAAAAGTTATTCCAGGTGTGTAGGGAAGTAGGGTAATTATGAAGATTTTCAGCATTTTATTTAGAAGTTACTTTGGAATTGCAAAATATCTTCTGGACTTTTGAGACCATCAATGTTTCTTTGGGGGCTGTAATTGTTCAAGAAACTTACAAAGAATGTTCAGTCCCAGCCCAAGTCGGGAGTCTTTGGAGCACATTTACTTTCCTAATGTCATGGGGCCAAAGGCTATGACAGTCAGGAATACTTTATGCCTTATTCTAGAGTTAGCCAGGCAGGTGGGCAGGTACAGTATCAGAAGGAATGTGCACAGTGAACGTAACTTTAAAATGTTGTGATGTGTAGGATCGCTTTGGGTATAACAACTGTTATGCTGTTATAGTCTGTGAATCTAAATATTTCAATGCCTCATATAAATGGTTTATGATATTTTACCTTTATTTGAATAGTTTGTTTCAATCTGAATGATGTCCTAAATGTTAATCCATGTTTTCACGTTAATAAATTTCTTATTTTTCTAAGGCAGAGGACATTGAATTATTTAAGTGTACCATATATTCTGTATCCACTTTTTGTCAATAGATCTTTAGTTTGTTTTCATATCTTACCTGCTCTGGTTTGCATATGGTTTGGGTGTACACTCAAAAGTTACACATACTGTAAGTTGGTTACCCAGTGCATTGGTGCTGAGAGGTGGTGAAAGCTTTAAGAGATGGAGCCCAGGGGAATGTGGTTTGAACATTGAGGGTACTAGTCTTGAAAGGGATTAGTTAGTTTTCATGAGAGCAAGTCATGATAAAAAGAGCAAGCCTGGCCCCTGAATTCATCTGTTTTTCCATCTCACTCTGTAATCTCCTCTACACATGCTTACCTCATAGCAATGTGCATCACCACAGAATGAACTAGAGGGCTAGCCTTACCTTGGATTTTCATCCACCAAAACTATAAGCTTTATAAACAAACCTTGCATAATATATCCAGATTCAGGTATTGAGGTATAACAACAGAAAATATATAAGATAAGAGCCTGTTGTAGTAGTACTACAATTATTGTCTTAGTTACTTTCTCATTGATGAAATACAATACCTGACCTCACAAGTTAAAGGAGGAAATGTTTATTTGGCTCAAGGTTTGTAGAAGCTTAAGTCCATAGTCAGCTGGCTCCAAGGCAGGGCAGCATGGCAAATGTGCTTGGCAAAGGAGAGTCAGCTCATGGCATGGCAGCAGGAAGCAGAGAGTAGTTAAGGGAGGAGGAAGGGAGATAGACCTTTCCAGGCCATGTCTGCAGTGAACCACCTCCTCCAACCATGTTTCACCTCTCAAATTATTTTTATCTATAAACTCATCAGTAGAGTAATCCACTGATGAGTATCATGACCCCATGATCCAATTGCCTCCCCAAAGCCCTACCTATGAATACATGAGGCTTTGGGGGACACCTAGATATAAACCATACCTTGATACAATGTGTTTAGTCCATCTCTAAGAGTTGTCAAAGTTCCAACAGTTTCAGGAGCACTGCTGAAAAGTCCAAGGCCAAAGTCTTCTCTGAGATTTAAAGGCAAACTCTTAGCTCTAAGCCCTTATAAAAATGAAAAGAAAGTTAAAAACTTCCAATGTACATAATCACATGGTAAATATTCCCATTCTGAAAGGGAGAAATAGGGGAATGGAAAAGAATGGAACTAAAGCAAGACAGAAACCCAGCAGGGCAAACATTAAATTCTGTTGTTCCATGTCCAGCACCCAGGCAATTTGTGGTGATGAGAAGTGAGCATCAAAGGGCTTGAGTGTCCCCACTCCTGTGGGACTGCTAGTAATTACAATTCTTGGGCTGGCTTTGCTCACTGCTTGGGGCTTTCCTCAAGGAATGTTGTTCCTGGCATTTCCTTTGCACTTCTGGCTTCATTCTCACATCTTTACTCACTGCCCTCTCAGGAGCACACTGCCTGACCTCTCAGGCATTCTGAAATCTGGATGGAGCCTCCCTGACCTGACACTCTTGCCTTCCGCATGCACCTAAAACCAACACCATGTGGATGATGTTGTGGTCTGCTGTCAGCTGGAGCAGTAGCTGAAACCCTTTTGCATCTTTCAGGTTGTTGCAGAGGCCTCTCAGTGCCTGAATGGCTGACCATGGTGGACTGAATCCTGAGGAACAAATTCCCCAGGTGGCTGCCATTCTGAAGCATGATATTCTGAGGCTGCCTTCTCAATGCAAAGTCTTTCACTTGTGCAATTTTGAGTGTGTGAAGGGTGAAGCTTTGCCTGTGCCCTCCAACCATTTATTGTTATGTTCCAAAGCACTTGGATACTTTTTAATATTAATCTTTTTAGCATCCAAGCTTTCCACTGTTCCCCCTTTCAAGGCCCCAACTTTACTGGAGCTTCCTTGATGGCCAAACTGAAAAAGTTTTAAATTGTTCAACCAGGCTGTTTGCTGTTGGTTTTAAATGTAGAGCTACCTAAAAGCCTCCAACACCACCCAAGCCATAGTCTGTCTGGCTGTGTCAATGTCTGGCTGCTTGAAATTTTCTCTGCCAGATTACTCAGTACACC